GTTACGCTTTCTTTCTTTGCGTGAACATTTGGGTGGTGTTATGCAAATCTTCCCACATCGTGACGTAGGTATGTGGGGGCGTGTTAGAACGAGCCGTTTTAGGTAGGCGTGGCTGACTCTTAACTTTTATAACGAATATCTCTTTGTATTTGAGACTTTAGTCTTTGCAACTTTACAGATCTTCTTTATGCACCAAGAGCTTGTAACACTCCAAAGAGTAAGGAAAAATTTAAATCGCATCATATGACCCCTTTAAGTCCAAAAACAAGGTGGATAATACTGCTGATTGTTTTTTGTATATCAGCATACTCCTGTCTAGATAGACATCTTTTACTTTTGCTTCTTACTGCTCACATTATGAGCGCTGCGTTTTTAAGACACTCAAGAAGCCCAATTGAACGGCCCCTGAGCTCTCCTTTTGTTTCACAGAAGAAAGAACCTACACTTTCAACAGTTGATTTTATATAGTCTCTCATTGATGGGTCTTTACGCTGCGCGGTCCCTTTAAGGCAGACAGCACGTCGTACATTCCTACGAAAAAAGCGGCGTTTTAAATGCCCGGTTGACGTCATTAAACTTTTTAAGCGGCTGGAGTGCGCGCGGAGGGAAAGGCAGGCACACACGCGCGCGCTTTTCCAGCCATTCGCTGCAGATGCGACTGGACGGGCTCCGGTTTTCTGGGAATAAATACAAAATCAACATTCCTTGTAAGAGAACTACCGTTTCTTTCAATAGATTATTATTGCGGTAAATACATGGTTTATGTTGTGACCTTTTATTATAGGCATGTTTCAACGATAACAGAGGCATAAAAATAGTTTGCTTGAGTGTGAATCTGTTGCATGCTGTGTTTTACGCGTTACATTTATTCTATAACTATACTGCTGTTTTACTTGTGTTATAGATAACAAAGGGAAACAATCACAATTAAATGGGCTTTTCCGATGTTTTTTGTTCTAAAACATTTCATTTACTGTATAAGTAGAATGGCAGGTGTATTAGTGAAGCTCGTGCATATGCGCGTGTATATTTGATCGCCGCGTTGTAAAGTTAGTTCTGTTGTTCAGTTCATACGGCTTAACTGTTCCGTGGTTTCAGCACTGTTTTGCTGTGCATTAGCCTAATGCATTGACCCAGAGCTCAGCCACGGACCCCAGCAGTCACACAGACAGAATAATGTTCATAATGGTATTGCTGACTCCGTGTCCCTCTCCGTTTGCTGCCCTTGACAGAGGAAAACGAGAGAACAGCATAATGACATTCTGACATTTTCAGGCAAGCTGCTGTTGTTGTGCTTTAATAACTGAGGCTGCCAGACTCTTTCCACAGACTGTAAATCCATTTGCTTCTGAGAAGGATTTCAATCAAATGTGAACTTGCTAAATAAATGCACCTTCATGCTCCTCATATAATTGTATTCAAAATGAAATTTCATGATTAAAACAGCTATACTAGCATTAAAGGAATTGTTAATGCTTTGTTAAAATTAAAGTCTACAAATTTACAAACCCTATATGACTTCGTTTTTTCTGTGGAACTCAAAGGAGATGTTTTGAAAAATGTCCAAGGCAAGCAGCTCCTTTCCATAAAACTAAAGCATTCCAGTGCCTCCCAATCTCCATAAAGCACAATAAAAGCAGTTCATATAGTTCATGTCCAATATTTCTAAACTTCTGAAGCCATACCATACAGTAACTTTGTATGCGGAACAGATGGAAAGTCCTAATTACCAGACATCTATCCCTGTTACATCTCTCAGATCTCATTCACACCTCCATATTTTTAAACCTTAAGCATCATGATCAGTCAAGAGACAAATTAATGACATTAAGCATTTGATATTAACATTCACATTTTATGACGGCTTTCACATTGATCCAGAGAGACATGCTACCACTGAAGTGCCATTTCAAGCACATACAGTATGTTTATTTTAAATCACGGATTATGCATGATTTAAACTTTTTTCAGGTGCCATCAAAACTCCATCTGGGGTACATTGAGAATATTTACATCATAAAAAGGTTAAACCGATAGGGTTATGCAATTCCAGGGAGAACTTTTAGTGAAATAACTTCATAAAATTCATAACTCTATAAATAAAAGGCGTAATGGCTTCGGAACAGATGGAATGCAACTACTACTTTTATGGTACTCTTTTGAGCTTGATAGTTACACGTCATTTGCAGTTTGTCTTGATTTTTGCTTCACTGAAAATAGAAAATCATATGGGTTTCAAACACCATAAGGCTGAATAAATTTAAATATTTCTTTAATTTGCTAAGATCGTTCGCGTTCGTGAGGATGAATATATTTTTGTCATAATTCTTGAAGAGCCATGTGTCATTTACTTAGACAAGACATTTACATAAGGCTTTGAATGCATTTTAATGGAATGATTAACAGGACAAGGGAAAATCGTTTCTAAATAACACTGATCTGCTGCAGGTGTTATTCAATCAAACTATTAATAAAATGACACAAATTGCATAATCTTCAGATTACACCAGTCTCATATTTCTTGAACATGAGATTATTTTATTCTAAGTGAAGTTAGTAAAAAAGCATGAGCCATGTCAGAATCACATGCTACAATGTCTGTTTCTACAAAAACTGATGCTGTAATGTAATGACAACATGATCCACGCCGGGTAATTAGAGATAAGCATATGTGAAATCCTTCTTTGGAACTTTGCCATGTTCAGCAGGACTTATAATGTACTCATGATCATTGCTGTCAATAATGGATTAGACTTGCTTTATTTGATGATTTGACAGAATAAAATAGGCCTAGTCTTATGCTGGACTTGAGTGGTCTGGTTCCAATGCCGGTCTTGGGATCTGTTCTTGTCTGGGTCATGTGGAATTGGGGTTTGCCATGGGATTTGGACTCTAGAGGGGTTATAGATTGGAAGACAGGTGTGATGGCCTTCACAGAATGTTTTCCCAGTGGAAACTGTATTGCCTTTGTCTTAGGAGAATTGATATGAACACTGGCTGCTGATTACTTCCTGATGTTACAGGCCAAAAGGAAGCAAAGCACACACTTTTTGCATATTCTAGGAGCCTCTTCAGTAAGATTGATTTTATGAGTATGCAGTCAGGTACAGGAATAATTTGAGAAAGATGTCTCTAGTCAAGTCAAGTCACCTTTATTTAAATAGCGCGTTATACAATACAGATTGTGTCAAAGCAGCTTTACAGTATTAAACAGGAAAATAGAGTGTTGATAATGCAAGAGGACAATAGTAAACACTCAATTTTTCAGTTAAAGTCAGTTCATCATTGATTCAGTAATGTCATCGTGCAGCTCAGTCTCTATAAGTCAACCATTTTATGTTGATTTTCCCTAAAAACACTGTGGTGCTATCTAAACTTTGCAGTGTTTCCTGCACCTTTCTGAATCTTTAGCACAACAGCAAAAAATTGTTGTGAGTCTGATTTAATGTTATAAATTTAGTGTATTTTACTAAATGAACTGAACTAAACCCTTCAAAGCAGTTACTGAAAAAAAACGGACTCACTGAAGTCAGTACCATTGCAAGCTACATTTACATGCAACCAAATAATACGTTTATAATCGGATTTATGGCTCAGTCGGACTGAAAAACCATCATATACACACCTCAATTAACCATATAAAGTTATCAAATAAAAATTAAAATATTGCCATCAATGACAGATGAGGCAGGGAGTGTTCATCAAACCTTTTGTATAATCATTATTTTTGCCCATTGTGTTTGGCAATGCTACTGACTCAGAAATTACAATTCAGCTTTAATCAGTGATTTATATGGGAGCTCTTCAACAAAACTTTACTGTGACAGTAAAAATGAGTGATTGTAACTAACTAGACGAAAAGTGATTAGACAGCTTTTCACTCTCACACTCGTTCAGTTTTGATAAAGTACACCTCAAATGAGACATAATTTGAATAACAAATAAGATGCAATGTTTTTGTCTAGAGAGATCTGATCCTCTAAATTTATCCTAGATTTGGTTTGTTTTACTTTGACATTAGGTCCTTAGTGCACAGGGAAGTATTATTTATCATGTCTGCCAGCAAGTTTTACCCTGAGCAAATTAGCAACATGTCTTTAGTTGCTCGATAGAAACCTATACCAAGGAATACTAATTTAGTAAAAGTTGAGCGTTATTTCCCTGGGAAGTACAGCTTTTATCACCACACATTTTGCAACTCGCATGCAAATTGAAAGTATGAAAATATTTCAAAAGATGGCACACAGATTCAATCTAAACAGATGTTTCTGACATTATGATCTGCAGAAGCATACAAATTACCGTACACATTTTAAACTCTGCTCTTGTTCTCCAGACATTGATTAGTAACTCAGAAAATCTATCTCTCTCTTAGCTGTAATTGCCAACAACACTTTTGCATTCACAAACAGCATTCAACATACACACAATAGAAACGAACATGTACAACACAAAGACTGAATGCTGAGAGGGTCCATACCCCTCTCATTCAAAACATCCAGACAGAAATAATCACTCAACGGCATCTGATGCTTCATTTCCTGCCAGTGAATCAACATCTGACTGCGTGTCTACGTGCTGTCTCTTCCAAATTAGATTAGAGTTTTTTTAGCTTTAAATTGTAATTGACTGGAGCAGGTGCTGCATGAGTCTAATGGTTGTCCATTTGAATTCACTGAAGCATAGAAACCAATAAATTTCTGTTTAAACTAACAATGTGAATTTTGAGTAGAGCAACCGTTTTCAAGCCTTTGTATGAGGAACAGGCCCATGCCTGATAATTTAGCACACAAATTCTATGATCCTTTACAAATCTGCCCTCAGCGTGGTGCTGTATCGATCTAAAAATAAATGAGTAAACAAGTTATGACCGATTCTTCATTTTTATTTGGCTGCTTAATGCCATTTTGTTATCAGGAATGTTAGTATTGATTCATTAGGATAGTGCAATGTGACTCATTTACCCCCACAGTCATTATAATAATACAAGAGATCATGTGTGACTGTCAATATGAATGTAACTATAATTATAAGTGTGAAGTGGGGTGCTGGGCAAAAAAAACCTGTAAAAAAAATCTCCAAATGAAATTGCAAAACAGGTTTCCAGAACACTTCGTCATCTGTCATTGGCCGGAAAAGCAAATAGTCTCGGCCCAAACTAGCCAATGTTGCTATGTTGGCCTAGTCAGGATTCTCAAACAAGCAGTGCCTTAGTCGCTTTGTCATTTTTCAAGGAATTCGATCTACGAATGCCCTACTTATAGTTAAACTGGAATGGGATAAAGTATTTTAACAAAGAAAAAAAAATACACATTTAAGTTGTCTTACTGGGTTTGGAACGACATGAGGGTAAGTAATTAATGACAGAATTTTCATTTTTGGGTGAACTATCCCTTTAATGAACTAATTTTCCCCTCAGTAAATTGGCAGAAATGTCTCCTTCTTTGAAGCTTTGTTACTATAGCATTAGTATATATTAAGAAGATATCAGTATATAGCAGCTCTAGGCACTGGGAATAAAATGGTCTTTTTGATGGTGATGGGTTAGTAGACAGATAGTAGATTAGCTTCTAAAAGCATTAGGGACAATGAAAACAGAAGTATATTTTTGACACTATACACAAATCCTTTTTGTTTTTCAAATCTGATGTTTATGTATTCACTGTCTGCACTGTCATTTTGCAAGTGAAATCTGATCCGTTTGTTC